CGTCAACCTTGGTCTAGGGTAGTCTGGCTGAGGGTCTTGGGCCGTCAGTCTTGGTCTTGGACCGCCTGGTCTAGACTGCAATACTAGCAGGAACCTCTAAGTAAACACTGCTATAAAGATCAAGATTCACTTGTGTCATTTTGAAGAAATACCCCAATGAAACATGTAATATGTCACTTGGGCAGTCTAACCTGTGCTTCTTTTCTCCTTTGTGGTTGTCTTCCTCATCACTGAATACCAGCTTGGCAGAGTAGTCCACCTCCCCATGGGCCCCTGCCCAGCCATCCAGGGACTTGTTGGCCTCATCCAATGAGTCTAGCTGCTGCAGGGTCTCTGCACTGACAATGGTGGTCTTCTGAAAACGCCCTCCACCTCTTGAGTCTGGACTGGGGCCTCTGCCTGACCCACCTGGTTTCATTGATCTGAATGGAGGAGTGTGTGTCCGAACAACAAAGGAATATTGTGTATTTAGAATGTCATTGACCCCGAGCAATATAGACACAAGCCATAAACCAAACAGTATTATTAGGGATTTATATGATTACAAAATCAGTTTTGAGGCCACAAGTGCTTACTGAAAGTAGTGCTGCAGCCGAAGCAGCAAACCGAACCAAAAATCATCAAACATGGCACTTCTGAACAGAACCGAATTCGGCTTTGATATGGCATGGCATTGCTAGCACATGGAATGCATGCAAAAAAACTTGATAAAAAAGCAAATACAACGAAAAATGGATGAGTTATGCCGCACCAGTGCTCGGTACGTGCGTGTACACACGTACTCTAAATGTACATGTACCGTAAACTTACAGTGGCCCAGCATCACGCGATGGTTACATGCAACGTACAGCATTTCCACTGCACAACAATTCTAAATTCTAACGACATCCAATTGTGTTCATGTATATTCAGACTTAGCATTATGTATGCCAATCTCCGATAGTCATGCCCTTACATTATATGTTAGGCCAATGATATCACAGGGATGAGATTCTCAAAAACGGAAAATGTCTAAAAATTGTCCGACATGGGAAAGATCAATTGTGAGCGCGAAGCATGAATCCCTTACGGCGTGGGGTTCGGGGCTGAAACAGATCATCATTTAAATATCATTTTTGACTTTTTAGTCACTGAATCACAGTGTCATGCACGGTATAGGAAATTACAAGCTATTGGAAAATGCCTAACATTTATCATTATGATGTTACTTGGTAACGGTAGTTTATTTTTTATTTGGAGACTGTCAGAGAAAAGAACAAAATCTGACAAATACTTCAAGCAGCAACATATTTTGTTAACAAATCCCACCAGTACCGGGTACAAGCATTTCACTTTGCGTCCCATCTTGATTTGGGACTGGTGTTTCAAAGATTCTGCATGAGTCACGATCGCCTTTTTCCCTCGTGACACGTATTTGATTTCGGCATTGCACCACAGGCCTAGTACTTTACCCGACTTCTTCAATTTCCAGATGAATTCCGACAGGAAATATCCTCTCGATTTCAATTCCATCCACTCCCATCACCAAGAATTTTTTATTCCTTTGTCGATCTCCTTTATCAACCCCTCTGCTTCCCAACTGACGATGTCTTTACGACAAGACATGCTCGAAAATCTCAGGATAAAATATCGAACAGTTTCTCATGTGCGCACACTACTACTCACGCTCGCCGAGTAGTAGTACATATACGTCTATACACACGTGCGTGCGTACACCAGACAACTTCATAACAGCGATGTTCATTAGTCAATATGCTTGATGTTTCCCACCTTGTTTTGCCGCGAGCCAATAGAATGTGGTTTTCTTCCCAACCCTTTTTAGCCTGGTTCCGGGGCCAGTGCAAGCCATCGTACAGTACAGTCATGACAGAAAAAGTACACACGCCACGCGCTAACACGCAAACAATGCAAGGCAAAAGACGTGAATACTGACCCAATCATGACAATAAATCTGGTGAATAGTAAGCAAAAGCTGTTTTATTTCACTTCAAAATCATTTAAAATCATGAAATTTCTTCTTTCTGATTGGATGCTGATCACAGTCGGACTCGTGCTCGACCGAAGGCAACTCTGGAGGGAAAACTGATTTTGCCAGACAGGCAAGTGCAACGCTCCAGCGCGTGACAAGATTAGGTTCGAGAGGTGGCATAATTCGCCTTTCATTTGATCATGTTTAATCAACGTCGTAGAGTGAATGTGTTGTACCTAAATTTTGCCCGATCTCTAAGTTGTTTGCAAATATGAAGCAATAAAATGCCATTATCCGTTCGAAAAAGACTGATGGAAAATCGCCCCTTTGGCCACATGGGTGTATCAAGTATCAAATCAGCATTTTTCCTTGGAAAGAATGCGGACTTGATACCAAGGTTCTTTTTTGAATGCATCAAAAGCCATAGTTTGGTAGCTGAATATGTTTCATGAAAAAATAAACAAAACACACTTCGCTCGAAATCTAATTTGATCCTGTATCCTGTAAAGGAGAAAATTCTCATTTGAGCATGCCGTTTTTTTGTTATCACATATTCTACAATCGTTTGTTGAGTCAAGCGTGGCCCAAACACTACCGTCCAATTCAAAGTTGCTCCTAGATGGGAATGGAGAGGAGATTCATTGCTTGTATCAACATATTTTATGTATGGAAGCACTGTATATGGCACGTTCGTAGCAAGCTTTTTCGATGTCTCAATGTGCATTGTACATGTACATGTATGTACATGTCCGAACCTGAGCCGTGTCTGAACCGAACCCTGGCACCTACTTGCAGCACTAGCTGAAAGCATAAAATACATATCCAAAATGACTAAAGGCATCACCATAATTTTGATGTGATTCTGAAGTGATTCTGCACAGAAAAATGCAATCATTATGTATCACCTAAAAACACAAGGCCACAAATGTTATGTCAGTGTTGCTTAACATGTTAAAAGATAAAAGAAATTTTGCAAAGCATATGCTTTTCTGAAGGTTTGCAGGCCATCAGGCAAAGGTGATGGATAATGTGTAATCATGGGCTCATCAAATCATAACATCATCTGGCCCCTTCAGAAAAGATTGTCTCCCCTAAGTTATACATTCACAGACTGGCTATATGGTCAAACGTTGGGGATGTGGTTTTTCATTTCTCTTAAGCCTGGTTTCCATATCAACGAAAGAAACGGAGAGCAACGCAATCAAGACACAAACTGCAACACAGACAAATGGAAACATGTCAAACGGAGGTGTCGCTGACAATGCAAATGCAAACGCAAACCAGCCCGCAAATGATCAGCAAAGTTAAGCCAACTTTGCCAACTGTCTGCGTTGAGTAGCCCTAGTATCCCCATACAAACACGCAAGCTGGCATGAGCAGCATGTAACAATGTCCCTCTCGCTTAGTTCACCAAGTTTGCCCATTTTCTTTGAACGTATTACACCCTTATGATCAACTAAATAGCTGACCATCAATGAAACGCATGGTACTGGAGCACAGGTTTGGCATCATGAGGTAGTACCAGTACAGTCTAAAAGGGTATATTCCGCAAAAATCACAGGATTTCCAATGCCATTTTGTTTCCATTTTGGAGTGGAATGTCATGCACCGCCTCTTCCATTTGTATCTGCATCCTAACGTCTTGCCGACCATCTGAATTATGAATGACCATATGGAAACCAGGCTTTAGTTCAGACTGTGCCTAAACAACCCACCTTTGATCCTGCTGAGTGGGGTAGCCTTGCCTGGGTGGTCCCTGCATTCCTGGAGGGAAGCCCATTGGATAATGCCCACGTGGGCCACCTGGGCCAGGAGGGCCAGCTGGGTGTGGTCCCCCAGGACCTGGTGGGAAACCTCCCCTCCCAAACATCTGTAGAAAAGGACAACAAGTATTTCACAAACATCTGGTGATATTTCTGACTAGGAAGTGTACATTTCAAATTACATCTACAAATGGCAAAACCGAAAAACCCAACACTCTAATAATGCCATTTTACAAACAACTAAATGTTTGCAAGGTCATACACAGGGTTTCTCCTCCCTATTCGAGTGTGAGGCGGCCCACCTCACTGATTTTAGTGAAAATCTCAGGCTTTTCTGCTGAATTTTACCACCTCACACTTGACCACTTCCTGCCGGGGACTCCGGAATTGGAGACGTATGGTTTATATGCTTGGCCGGGGTCTCCGAACTCCGACAAAGGAAACAGGGCCCTGTACAAAAGACCGTACTCTGAACAAACGACCAGGCTGCTGGGCATTACCAACATTTTTCACTCTCAAAAGCGGTGATAATCCAGCCTTGTTTTGAAACCGTATACCAGGGTTTGGGGCATTGAGAGTGAGCAGATTACCACCGGGGACAAAAGCGCATGACGGCTAGTCAACATGGCCTCCGTGCGCAGTAGCCTCACACTAGCTGCTGTACACGGGCGGACACAGACTTACACGACTTTTGTCTATGATGTCATGAGTTCAGAGTTACCACTAACTGCTTTTTTTTTACTGTGTTTTTCAAGACAAAGAAGTATTGTTATATTTACTGA